AAAATCAAATGAATAGAACCTTATTTTACTTCCTATAAGCCAGTCCTTGACTATAATCTCGCCTGGTAAATTGCACTGTCTTAGCGTAACAAAAGCCTAATTACTCTTGCCTTGAAGATGCCGAAATTGTAATCGGACGGAAAGGCAGACGCCGGAGAATTATTTCAATTTTTGCTGCACTTATTACGAAACACTTCCTTGTGGAATCGACTACCACCGATACGACTTAGGGCCTTCAAGAAAATAGCCTATTCTTTTTTAAGAGGCCTACACAAACGTATCTGCGATACTCCTGGGCAGTCATGGGCGGCGGTCGACACTTGCCATCAGGTGAGCTGCATGCTCGTTTGCCCCCTCTTCTATAAAAAAACGAAGCAAAACTATTTGGTTCGAATGCGTGGAATATCGACAACAAAAGGTGAAAACCCGTTGACCCTTTGATTGTTCGATGATGAAAAGGGGAGTAAGGAAGGGCATATAGTAGTGTCAGTTTCCGGTCACGAGTCTGGGATACAATTTTGATGAGACGTTTCTACCGTACTCGATTGGAAAATTTGTTAGTCGATCCATTAAGATGGATTATCTATCTATCTTAGTTGACATATTAAAAATCTATCTTAATCGATAATCTATCTATCTACCTTAGTTTATTTTGGAGACCCACGATACTGCACAGTCTACACAGTCACTTCCTTAGCCCGTAACAGTCTACTGATCACAGATCACAGTAATGGTGTGTGGTGTGTATGTTAAACAAAACGTGTTTATTATATATTTTGTATGAGTATAAGACATCTCTATTTTATATATATGTGCAGTTGTATATACAAACGATCACTAGACCACTAAGATTAATTTACCTTACAAGGGAGTCGAAGCCATTCCCTGCCTCTTGTTTCCGGGCGGCTTGATAGTGCTATGGTCGTCTACTATAGCCCTGTGGGTCAAGGGTTCGATTCCGTACAAAATTGTGAATTAAATAACCTTGTCTGGTTTACAAACGCCTTCACGATAGAAGATAACTGGTTTTAGCGATTAATTAACGATGTGTATAAAACAACTTTATGATAAAAGAGATATTCTCCAAGGGCTACGCTTTAAATTAAATAAAAAAAAAATAACTTTTGATAAAACCGAAATAGTAAAATAAATTGTACAAACAATTTCTAATAAATGAAAGATTCGAGACGTTTGGGGCAAGCTTTCTCCTTTCCACCATCGGACAACCCAGCGGTCGACGCGCTTGCTACATGTTTCATCAGGTTTTCACTTCATGTGGTGGCTGTCGCCTGCTATGGAGCTTGCCAGTACGAGTCCACTCGAGAACCTTTCTACCCCATCGGTTGTCGCTTCTCCCAAAAATACTGCGAGCCAGCCCATTTCAACTTAGGTTTACAGACCCGTTGGGCTATGTCAATCACTCTTTTTCTTTTGCGGAAATTTTCCTTATGAATTTTATTTTTATTAATATAGTACGTCAGGGTAATATGAGTCATCCCCCCCGAACGGGTTCCCGCCTTGTCGTGGCGGGGGGGGGGGGGCTTAGAAGCCGTGGCTTGGTCACCCACGGCGAAACAAAGAGGAACCCATATGGCTGGTCCGAGGTGGAGGGCCGGCCCGAGGTGGCCACTCCGAGTGGGCTTGGGAAGCCCTCTTCGGATGTGTGTTGGTGGACTGCGGTGAGAGGTGTGTCCTCCCCACCTACCGCTGCAGCCGAGGTGGAGTCGCGGAGGAAGAGGAGTGTTGGTATGGCGATGCGCCACTCGCCCTATCCTCCGCGACTCAAACGGGGCCGCACCGTTGATGCGATGGTGATGGGGCTGCGGAGGGAGAGGATTGTCGGTATTGCGAGGCGCCGCTCTCCCTATCCTCCGCAGCCTAATCTTGGTTGGCGGAGGAGCCATAGACCAGATCCGCCGCTGGGGTCGGGAAGGCTAGTACTTCTAAGTGCTCGTTTTTCCTGGCCCCATGGCCTTCGCGCATCGGACGCGGGGGCGTCTGTTGCGCAGATGTAATTGGAGGCCGTGGAGGAAGGCTTGCCATGTGTTCTGGTGCGCCTTACTTGGAAAGGAAAACGGGGAGGAATATTCCTCTCCCGATGAGGTGCTGCCATGGGGCGGCAGTCGCTGGTGGGGCCGCGGATGTGTGCGAAAGCGTTCCCGTAGCCCTGCCAATATGCGACGAAGGTGGAACACCATGGGGTTTTAGTCGGTGCGAGTCCGACATAACCCGTCCTTGCCCCCGCGAGGCGGGTATGCGTAGGCATTTCCCCATGTTAAAAAAAAAAGGGTAATATGAGTCATACGGTTAATATGGTCACTTTCTTGTAACTCAAAAATTACAGCCCTGTTTGCATAGATGGCTTTGTGATACGATAGCTCTTCGTCGGTCAATCAAATAATAAACGGTCAAAAGGACGATACTTTATCGATGCCATTTTGACACTTGACTTTATAGTAAATATTTTAGTTGGTTTTAGTATGGTGTAGTGTAGTTAGTTTTTTAAACTGATTTTTTCCAAGTGTTCCTAATTATTGACGAAGCATGTTTGCTTTTTTTTTTAATAATAATAATAAAGCTTTTTGTCTCAGTTCACACATGTTACTAAAAATATACAAATAAAAATCATCACAAACTTAACTTTGAAATATACTTAAGTAACATAAAAATAATAAGACAAGCTGGCCTGTGAGTCAGCTATGTGGTGATTTTAGGTCATATATTAGTTATAATATACGACTTTGTACTTTTGTCTCTGTCCTTCTTCTAAATTACGAGTAGTTTATATAGGGCGGCAAAGCTTATGGTGGCTACATTACCCTAACGTACCTTATAATTACATTATTTATTTTTGCTCTGTGGTAGGATTCTTTTTCTGTGTATTCGCTCTGGTAGTTAATTTCTGTCACCAAATATCTGTTTCTGGGCTGCAGGATATAGACAGTCAGTATAATTAGAGCTGTGAGGCATTCCATCTTAGTCCTCAGAGGTGTCAACGCAAAGTAATATAATTAAGAAAATCGTAAAACTAAGAAAAGTCGAGAATATGATATCGGTTTTGACACGGTCACAAAGTAGAACACTAGGGAAAGTACTGACTTGACAATTGATGCTTCATCAACTGAACGACCTGATCAACTAGTCGCTGTGGAAGTACTCAAAAGACCTGACGATATAATTGAATTACGTTTTTCCTAAAAACCTTGTGAAAGGTATAGGAACGATTCGAGTATATTTATTTCCGTCGCTAGTTTTTGCTCATACGCACAATCGCAATCGGCGATTTTTATATATTCTCGATCGCTATCGACCCGAAAAGGGTTAACGAGAGATTTAGAAAAGTTTTGTACGAAATTAAATATAAAGCAATTGCTAATACCTAAATATAAGAATAACGAGAAAAATATAAAATGTTTGTTGCGCAGCATAAACAAGTATCACATAGCGTCACCACGGTTTTCATTTACAAGAGATAAACGCGTTACAGATAAGGACGAAATAACAATGATATTGAATGATTTTCATATATTGCCCACTAGTGGACATGCAGGCATTAACCGCATGATAAATAACATTAAAAAATACTAAGGCTACAGGCCTTCTCCGTTTGTTGGCTGCAGGTGTCTCTGGACCATAGTAGCTACATACAATCAGGTGGACTATAAGTTGGTTTGTAACCTGTGTTTTATAAAGAAATAATATCCCGTATATGCTCACATATATGTGTAATTTTAACCTTCGTATTTCTCATTAGCACCTAAAAGTTGCTAAAGATTGCTAGCTGAACATGGTTCTTCTCGTTGTTTTTTTTTAGTATAAGGGTGACAAACGAGCACACAGTCAACCAGATGGTAAGCGGATGCTGTTACCCATAGACATCTACATTTGTCCTCGATTAAGAATCAAAATGCAGATGCGTTGTCACCACTAAAGACTAAGGTGTCCCTCGTTTCCAGTAAAAAAGGGTCTCCGGATCTCTACACTCACCATAGGAAACTCAGGAGTAATAAGCTGCTATTTTGTGCTGGTATTCTGTGAGAGAGTGGTCCTTCCCCGGTTGAGCCGACCCATTCGTACCACAACCATAATATAGCTGCAGCGTGGCTCTACCACGTATAAAATTTTCCCGTTTCGACTTTACAATTAAGCGTCACCTAGCCTTGCTTTTTATTTATTTTTTAATCATTTCTTTCATTTATTTTAATTTATGATCTATGGGGTGATATTTCTCGAATGTTGTTTATAGGTTAATTTTATAATTAGGGAGACAAACGAGCACACATTCCACGTGATGAAAAATGGATGTGGCCTATAGATTAGTTTCAATAAATTCAATTTATCCTCGATTAAGAATCAAAATAGAAAGTCGTTGTCACACACAAAGACTAAGTTGGAAGAAATGAATAGAATACCAGTGAAAAGGGTCTCCGGATCTCTACATTCACCATACGAAACGACAGTAAAAAGCTGCTATCTTACGCTGGTATTCTGTGAGAGCGTGGTCCATCCCCGGTCGAGCCGACCATACGTGTTCCAGCCATAATAAAGCTGCGGCGTGGCTCTACCACTTCCTAAACTGTATATATCTTTATCGATATCACTCAACGCGTTAGTAAATGAAATTTTTACACACTAATAAAACTAAGACTTACTTAGCGGTTACCCCAGAGTCTACTTCACCTGAGGGTGACTCGTGTAGAGGCGAATCACGTGTCGTATTACCTACGGTGGTGTATCTTTCCTAGTGTAGTGATGTTGGGAGCAGTGGTGATGAGATAATGTACCCAATTGAGGGAGGGCGGCAGGTGCCCTTCAAATTAGGTAAGACATCGTTTCATTTTATTTCGCAGATCTTAGCTAAGTAATTATTCAAATCTTTAATATAATGGATTACTCTAAAGTAACGCCTGATTCTATTAACTAACTTAAATAAAATACACTTGTAGTTTAGGACATATTCCTTAAACCTATAACATACTTAGGAGAAAAAAAATACTTACGATTACAGAATTCCAAAACAAAATTTCCTTAACTAAAACAATTTAAAAACTTGATATATTTCACTGTTATTTTTTTGCAGATTTATAAAAAAAAACTTTCGCTAAATATCTTTTAAATTTAAATATCTAAGTAGTGGTAACCCTAGCGCCTGGTAACACCGTCTTGTTGTGCCAATGCCACACGATTAACTGGCATCGCGATCTGCTGCTGCTCGTTTAAGTCCGATTAAAGATGTCATTAATACATCGCTACGTGGAGACAATTGTCTGAAATGCCTTTGACACAAAAAAATTAAGTTTTCAAGCAGTTACACGAGGCATCGTCAAGGCAACTCATGGCCCTGGTGATAAAAGAGTTTTTTTTAATTTGTCACTAAATACTAGTAATTATTCCCTTTAACCACTCAAGGTAAACTTAAAATGCTTGTGTTAGGAGTGGTTAACGACAGTTGTCGAATAGCGGATTCGAACCCACGGTCTTTTGAGTTCGCGATACGCACCCTGTCATTGGGCTACTGTTGATTAAAAGAGTTAAATTATTATTTATTTATTTTATTTATATATCTATTATTTTTTTATTAAATCACTGTCTTGGTCTTGAACTGTAATGATGCTTTTTTATAGAACGAGGGTGACAAACGAGCACACAGTCCACCTGATGGTAAGTGGATGCTGTAGCTCGTAGACATCTACATTTATCCTCGAATAAGAATCAAAATGCAGATGTCTCCGGATCTCTACAGTAACCACACGATACACAGTAGTACTAGGCTGCTGTTTTACGCTGGTATTCTGTGAGAGTGTGGTCCTTCCCCGGTCGTCTCAATAAATAACTTCCCCGGTCGTATAAATAACATATACATACATACACACTCACGCCTGTCACCCAGAGGGGTAGGCAGAGACTACGGACTTCCATTTGGCACGATCCTGACATACCTCTTTCGCCTCCTTTACATCCATATATCTACGCATACATGCTCTTCGGTTAAGGGTACTTCTAACGTGGCCCAATTTCAAAATATCGCCAATTTGGTCGATAAACTTTTTTCTAGGGCATCCCTTCCCGACTCGGCCGTTCACATCTGCCATATAAATTTGCTTTGTCGGTCTTTCCTTATTCATTCTTTCTACATGACCAAACCACCAAAGCATTCCTTTCTTAATCCTGGTCACAACATCATCTTGCATACCAAATTTATCTCTTATCACGCAATTTCCCACCCTGTCATTCAAATTCAAACCTAGCATATTCCTTAAAGACCGCATTTCTACAGCATTTATTCTACTTTCGTGCTTCTTCTGTCACACCCAGCTTTCACTACCATACATTAAAGTAGGGACTAACACAGCATTATGAATTACCATACGTGCCTTTTTTGACACATTCTGGTTCTTCACAATAGAGTGTAGTGCCCCATTCACTCTATTCCCTGCATTTACTCGTCGTTTTTTATTCTTGTCATATCTACCATCCCTGCTAAATACACATCCCAAATACACAAACTCATCCACTTGCTCAATTAACTCTCCTTCTATTCTTATTTCACGTACCGTTTTGCTTTCTTCTCTTTCAAAAACCATCACTTTCGTCTTACTTGCGTTCACTTTCATTCCCCTTTCTTTTAATTCCCAGTTCATTAATGTAACCATCATTTGCAACTCAGCCGCCGATGACGCAAATATGACTTGATCATCGGCATACAAAAGGCATTTGACGGTTAACTCGCCCATTCTTAACCCACATTCTTCATCTTTCAAAGTTTGCAAACACCTGTCCATAAATAGGTTGAACAGCCAAGGAGAAGCTACACAGCCCTGTCTGACACCTTTTTGGATGCCAAACCAGTCCGAGTAAACCCCATTGATCCTGACACAAGCACTAGAGTTCCTATAAAGAGACCTTAATGCCTGTATCAAACCAGCGCTCAACCCATATGAGTTCAGTGTTTGCCATAACACATTCCTGTCCACTCTGTCATAAGCCCTTTCCAAGTCCATGAACGCACAAAAAACTTTTTGGTTTTTGGCCAAAAACTTCTCCGCAATCATGCTCATGGAAAAGACTTGATCTATACACCCCATTCCCTTTCTAAAACCCGCTTGCACATCCCAAATTTTTCCATCAGTTTCTTTCATAACTCTTTCAATTAACACCTTAGCATACAGTTTACCCACAATACACCTCAGTCTTGCGTGCAACGCGACTGCGCACGGACGCGATGCACTGTTTGCTGTCGACTCGGTGACTCATTCGATCGCGAGAGTGAAAATGACTTCTAATACTGTGCAGTGCTCAAACTGCAACATAGTGATAAATGAGGTGCTGGCATTTTTGCGTAATGTGCTCGACTTTATGGATGAGGAGAGTATACATCAATTGTGTACATCCTCTTTCTCAGTGGCTGATATTGTGGAGGCCAAGACTCTTCTCTACGAGTCGATACCATCTGCAAAAAATATGCCTCTTCGAAGGAAGGATGGGAAGAAGAGAATGTCAAAGGATCTTAGCGATATGATTGCTCTGATGAAAAGTGTTGATCCAGGAATTTTTCCGATTTTCGTAGCCAAAGAACTTCATAAGCTCCCGCCGGTCACCTTTGATCACGTAGATGTGACACGACTCCTAAGGGATATTTTATGCTTAAAAAAATCAAATGTGTGCTTTGGAGGAGAAGGTAGTAACATCGGAAAAATTCGAAATGCTCAAGCAAGAGGTAGACCATATGAGACGTGCATCTCTTATCAATTTCTCGTCGGGTTCTAAAGTTAAGAACAGAAGAGGTGGCTGTTTACAAAACAGTTTCGTGCTAGATAGTGGTCCCATCGGTCTTCAATATGAGCCGGATAATAGATCGCCGCTGCAATCAGCTGTTGAAAAGGTTAACGACCTGACGTCATTAACGGAACACTTGTCATTCAAAACAAGTGCACTGGATGTTTGCGTCCCTATCGACTGTATGGCAACTGATGGAACAGAACATAGGGAAGCGCCGCAGATGCCCACTGCGGATTCGGAAGGGACGAAAGAGAGCAGTTGCCGCGCGAGTGGCAAATACGTCGACTACGCTGGAGTGAGCGGGACGGAGCGGCGATCGGGGTATGTCGAGCCCTCCTTAACAGCCAATGCGGTGCCGGAGCAACCGGCTTCTTCGGATGCACGCGCGTGCAAAGTCGTCACGACCCCTACTATCATCACTCGACCGTCGCGTGAACCAAACACGAGCCTATCAAAACATAGTGCGCGAGTGTCGCGAGTTAATGTGTCAAACTCAAATGCGAATCGTGGACCAGTGGTAAGGGACAGTAACTCGGAGTGGCAGGTGGTCAGAAATAAATCGGCCAAGCGTTATAAACTGATCGGTCAAAGAGGTTGTGCTGTGACTGAGCCTGATGGTAAATTCAGAGCGGCTGATATAAAAGTGCCTCTTTGATTTCGAACGTCAGTAAGGATACAAGTGAAGATGACATTATTAGTTATATAAGGGATAAAACAAGTGAAATTGTATCTTTAAAAATGATAAATATGAAAAAAGTGAAAAAGTATAATGAATGAAAAGTAAATTAAATTTATTTCTTGATGATAACTTTTGGCCTAATGGTATTACTTTTAGGCGTTTTGTACGCTTTATGTACAAAACGAAGTCAGAAACTTAGTTAAAGTTACCTAATAATAATTTGTTATGTCTTTAGGCCCTAACTGTGATCTTAAATTCGTTAGTTTCAATTGTAAATCGGCTAAACGTTCGTTAGATAACATCCGTGATATTTGTGATGTTTCTGATTTAGTAGCTCTTCAGGAAAGTTGCCCCATGATATACCAATGATAGGAACTATATCTAAAAATTTTGAATATAGTGGTAAGTCTGCTGTGGACAGGACAGCAGGGTTATTAGTTGGGAGACCTCATGGGGGAGTAGCTATTTTATGGAGGAAGAGTATTTTTAATAAGGTTACAGTCTTAGAATGTAAAAGTACCCGGCTGGCTGCAATCCGGGCTACATTACAAGATCGCTCTATTATTGTTTTTACGGTGTATATGCCAACCGACTCTTTAGATAACTTGCCAATTTTCACTGAAGTGTTAGGCGAAATAAGTGCAATTGTCGCGAGCGGAGATGTTGAGAGTATATTTGTCTTAGGTGATTTTAATGCTCATCCTAATGAGATGTTCTTTAAAGAACTAAACAATTTCTGTTCTGATCAGTCATGGGTTTGTGCCGACGTAAAAAAAGCTAGGATTATAGTCCGATACTTACACGTTTGTTAGTGAGGTCCACGGGTGCAGACGGTGGCTTGATCATTGCATTGTGTCAATGTCAGCTGCGCAAGCCCTTGTTAATGTGAGTGTCATAGAGGATGTTTTTGTGTCAGACCATTTACCGCTACTTATTGAATGCAATTTAAATGTAGTAAGGCCCAAAGTAGTGTTGTCAAGCATACCACGTAGCTCAGTTATATGGGGTGAGAGAAGTGAATCTCAAATAAATAATTACCGTGACTTATGTAACAAAATGCTTCGGAATATAGATTTCCCCAGTGAGTTTACCGAGTGCAGCCATGGTTCGTGTAATCTGAATGAGCATAGAGCTGCGTTGAACAGATTCTATGAAAATATTGTACAAATATTGTGTAGCGCGGCTAATGAGACTTGTGGGGAGCGCTGCTGTAAATATGATCAGAGAAAACATCTATGTGGCTGGAACAAGCATGTTCGTGCAGCTTATGCGGAGGCCAGGCTTAAGTTCAAAGTTTGGGTTCTATACAATCGACCTACCTCGGGCATTTTTTAAGAAGAAATGTACGAGACGCGTAAGATTTTTAAAAGTCGCCTGAAATGGTGCCAGAATAATCAGGAACAATTAAAAATGGAGATTTTGGCTAAACATAGAGCAGCTAAAAATTTTCATAAATTTTGGCAAGCTACAGGAAGGCAAGAGGTTAGGCCAGGTCTCCCAGTGAGTGTGGGCGGGATTAATGACCCTACTGATATAGCTAACACGTTTAGAGATCATTTCAGGGTGCGCTCGCC